TGTCTGCGAAATGAAAGCAAAAAGTGCTGCAAGTGTGACTCAAATGGTAGAGTGCTTGCCTACCAAGCATGAAACCCAGAATTCAAACCTCCCAGTACTGCCAAGTAAAGAAAAAGTTTATGAGTAAGTGCAAATGTAGAAAGAAGGATCCAGTGAGGGAGGGAGCTGGGTTGACAAAGAAAGTAGATGAGAAGGTTAGGTGTCAGCCTGTCCAGTTCACCACAAAAGTGTTTTGCAGTGGTTGTTCATAATGAGTTCTCGGGAAGAAGATGGTCTTGTGAATGTGAGCAAAGAAGGTATTATAAAGTACTGGCTTTCATGCTTTGTCTTTCTCTTGCAGGGGACATGAAAGGTGAGGTCTATCCATTTGGCATAGTTGGGATGGCCAACAAAGGGGACTGCCTGCAGAAAGGGGAGAGTGTCAAGTTCCAGTTGTGTGTTCTGGGCCAGAATGCTCAGACTATGGCCTACAATATCACACCACTGCGTAGGGCCACTGTGGAGTGTGTGAAAGATCAGGTGGGTGCAGCATCTGGACAGCATTCCTTCTAGACTTACTACTTCCCTGTGGATACCCAAAAACTTGACATTTTATTCAGCCCAGAAGGAATCAACATTCATTGATTTTCTTTCATTTTGACTGAATTCCTTTTTTTAAAAAAAAATCACTGTAAAGGTGTTGTACCAGAGGCATTGTATAAGTAAGATAATGAGTACATTTCTATTTGAAAAATAAAGAATGCTGAACAAATTTGTGTGTACATGCTGCCAAAGCAAGCACTTAGTTCCTTCTCAGTGATTTGGGGTAGCATAAAAATAGGAAGAAGTAATAAGGAAAAAAGTAACCCTATTAACAGTGATTGTCATTATTGATTAATGTTAATGGAGTAGTGGATCACACATTGTTGAGAAGTGGTCAGGAAATACATGTAGGGCAAATAAAACTAGTGTAGTTACTGAGATCTCAGAAAAATCCTTGGGTGTCACCTAGTATATAATAACCAGCTTAATCTCGATGGAATCAAAATGATTCTTTTGTTCAAGTAATAGTCCTAGTGTTCTTGCTTAATTCATAATATGGAACAGGGCCACCTTCATTAGTTTCCATCAAGCTAATACCATAATGAATGGCAGGGATTTCAGAAGTTTTTCTTCCCTGAAAAATTTTCCCATAAAAACTAGAGCTACCAGTATTAGTATTATGGTTTGAGGGGGGAAGTTGTTTGGTTCTGGAGTTTGAACTCAGGACCTTGTCTTTTTTACTTTTTTTTGGTCCAGTCGTGGGGCCTGAACTCTGGGCCTGGGCGCTGTCCCTCAGCTCTTCAGCTCAAGGCTAGCGCTCTACCACTTGAGCCACAGCGCTACTTCCGGCTTTTTTCTTTTTGCTTATGTGGTGCTAAGGAATCGAACCCAGGTCCTCATGCATGCAAGGCAAGCGCTTTACCACTGAGCCACCTTCCCAGCCCTGTCTTTTTTTCTTTAGTTAAGTTTTAGTATGTTCTCCTGTTTTTTTTTAAACCTTTCATAAATTTTATTTGAGAGAACTTTATGATAAAGAAATTATACAAATATTCATGCAACCTTTTTCACAGAACAGAGGATTTGATATTGCAGCAATGGGAATCATTCTTTTTTTTTTAAACATATTTTTATTGTGAAAATACTGTACAGAGGGGTTACAATTACATGGGTAAGATAATGAGCACATTTCTTATCAAGCATTGTAGCCTCCTGCTTTGTTTCCCCTTCCCATCCTTTTGTATCCTCCCCCCGTCCCCCGACCAAAGTTGTTAAGTTTGTTTTTCGACATAACGACTTATACATCTCATTGTTGCAATGGGTCCTCCTCTATCCCTGTTTTAACAATTTGTTTTTTCCCTTCCCCTCCACATATATCAACATCATATATAGTGAAAGCAGGGGTTGTACCATGTTCTCCTGCTTTTTTGCCAGGGTCATCCTTGGACCCATATCTTCCTTCCTCTGTTGCCCTAGGAGCTGTTATTAAAGGTGGCATGCACCACCACGCTTGTTTATTTTTTTTTAATTTATTTTTTTTGTGTGTCCGGTCATGGGGCCTGAACTCTGGGCCTGGGCGCTATCCCTCAGCTCTTCAGCTCAAGGCTAGCACCCTACAACTTGAACCACAGCGCCACTTCTGGCTTTTTTCTTTTTGCTTAGGTGGTGCTAAGGAATCTAACCCAGGGCCTCAGGCATGCAAGGCAAGCACTCTACCGCTGAGCCACCTTCCCAGCCCTCCCCCCCCCCACTTGTTTATTGAGATGAGTTTTCACTAACTTTTTGCCTAGACTTGTCTTGATCATCACCCTCCCCATCTCCAACTTGCTCTGGGTATTGTTGAGAGCCACTGAGCCCAGCTGCTAATGCTGTGATTTATAAATCTCCTTTCTGGTGTGGATAAGGCATTGTGCTTTGTGTAACAATGAAGTGTTATTTTGGTTTTGCCTGTAGTCTGTCCCCCCTTGTGACCTGCTGTTTTGTTTTCCAGTTTGGCTTCATTAACTATGAAGTAGGAGATAGCAAGAAGCTCTTTTTTCATGTGAAAGAAGTTCAGGATGGCATTGAGCTACAGGCAGGAGATGAGGTGGAGTTCTCAGTGATTCTGAACCAGCGCACCGGCAAGTGCAGTGCCTGTAATGTCTGGAGAGTCTGGTGAGTTGCCTTGTACTTGTGGGTGGATCAGTGGATCAGTGGGTGGATCAGTGGATCAGTGTTCACTCTGGGCTATCTCTTCTCTAGTTTCTCCATGGCCAGATTCATTTTCTGAAGCTGGTTTGGATTCTTGGCTTTTTCTCTGCTCTTGATTATATGACCTTTAGCCTCATGAAACAGTCCTCAATGACATGGTGCTAGTTCTGTTAGATGTTAAATGTAAAAACACTGTGTACTCTTTATTTTTTGTGCTCTTTATTTTTAAAAAATTTGCTTATTAGCTCCTTTACTTTTATTAAGCCATTTATTTCTAAGATACTTGCTGCTTAAAATACTACCATAGTCATCCTGTGTGCTACTTTTCTTCTCAACATTGGTATCTGAAAGGAACTGAACACTGAGCTGTTTCTTCACTTAAAGTTTGCCACATGTACCATGTTTATGTATCTGTGGAACTGGTCTTTCTGGTGGCAGACAAGTCTAGCATGGACCCTCACTAAAATGATTTTTGTAGCTCTTATGCAGTTGGAACTTTGAATTGGGAAAACATAAACTTGTCTGTCTTGTCTGGCTGGCAGTCTAGATGAGGCAAGCCCATTAAAAGTGAGTCATAGCAGCAAACACATTGGACAGGTACTTGGTTTCTTCCCACGGTACTGATCTTCTTGCTTCTTGGCTTGGTTACAGCGAGGGCCCCAAGGCAGTAGCAGCTCCTCGGCCTGATCGATTGGTCAATCGCTTGAAGAACATCACCCTGGATGATGCCAGTGCTCCTCGCCTAATGGTTCTTCGTCAGCCCAGGGGACCAGATAACTCAATGGTATGCCTCCATGCACACAAGGCATGAGGGAACCAGACTGATAGACCAGCATGCTCCACCCAATCTTGTTCAGTACGGGGTAAAAAACAGATTTTCAGAGATGCTCATAACTGATTAGGACTCCCTGCCCATGTTGCAGCCCTTAACATAATGGTGATTCTTTGTTAGGAAGGCTTCCAAGATTAACTCCTGTAAGAAAAATTGGTAATAGATGTGATGGCTAAAAATAGTTCCTACTGGGATCATGAACATATTGTAATAGATATATACTCAGGTCATTAATTAGTTTTATTTCTTCACAGGGATTTGGTGCAGAAAGAAAGATCCGTCAAGCTGGTGTCATTGACTAAGCACATCCACAGAGCACATCATTAATCCACTATGATCAAGTTGGGGGGATTCTGGTGAAGGGTTCTGAATATCTCCCTCTTCATCCCTCCCAAAATCTGGAATACTTATTCTATTGAGCTATTACACCAGTTTTAACACCTTCCTCGTGTTATGTTTAAAAAAATAAATAAATTTAAGAAACCATTTTAAAATTATGCACAGTTGCAGCCTGGAAAACTTAAGGTGGCGCCTTATAGTATCAATTTTAGGAGCTTTATTTGGTGCATTTAACGCAACTGGTAATTGCAAAATTCACGTGGCCTGAGTAAGGGAAAATAGACTGTTGTCTTGTTGGCCCTATGAAATTCTGCACTTGTACTCTACCCTCATGACCTCTGGCACGGTGTTGGCCTTGGCACTCAGTTGCATTCTTTTCTTTCCTGTTCATTATGCTTTAACTCTGAGGACCCTAATGAGGGTAGAATATATTACCTTTTAAAATTGCAAAAAATTTCTATAGCAACCCATTTTCTTAAGTTGATGGCCAAATGTTAAAATGTTATTTTTCATATCATTTATAATCTTGTCACAATCCATTTAACAGTTTGATTAGATTTCAGTGAAAATTATCTTCCAGAATAGGTCCCTCCCACCCCGAGATTGGGGTTAAGTAACTTTACTACAATTAGTATATATGGTGCAGAATTTCATGCAAATAAAGTGTGCCAGCAGTGTGATAATATATATAAACAAAAAACAAAAAAAGGACAAATGCACAAACCTGCTGCTGCTTAGATCACTGCAGCTTCTAGGGCCCAGTTTCTTTTACTGATTTAAAAACAAAACGGAAAAAAAAAATAAAAAAGTTGTGCCTGAAACAATGCTGTTTGTTTTGTGTCTGCCGGGCTGCGGTGTCCGGTGACTGCCCAGGGCGCCGGCCGGCTGCGGGCTGCGCGGGAGAGGCCTCGGAGGCCTGGAGGCCTTGGTGTTAGTAAGCGCCTCGCAGTCTGCGGTGCTGTCAACGGCGGACGAGAGCCAATAAAGTTGTACTCGTTTTTGACTCTGGCACCCCGGCTTCCATTATTGGGGCGAGGCGGGGCAGGCGCGTGACCCCGGCTCCGCCCGCGTGGCCCTGGCGCGCCCGGCGCAGGCGGATTGCGTAGCGGGCGGGGCCGGAAGTGCTGCTCCCGGGCGGGGGCTGTCCATGGCGGTTCCGGGGTCTCCGGCTCTTCTCCCGGGTGAAGTCCTAGGTCCGCGGGTGGCCGGGGCGGCGGGGCTGGCGGTAAGGCTGTGCGGGGCTCGGTGAGCGGGCGGGCGGGCTGGTTGGGCGGGGCACCTTCGGGGTCGAGCGCTGGACAAAGGCCCGGGGCTCGCGAGGCAGCCAAGGGGTCCAGCAGGCTGAGGGAAGGCGGGCGGGGCCGCGGATGGGCGACGCGAGGGTGGGGCTGTCCCTGGGGACCGAGGGCCTGGCCGGGCCAGGGTGGGCTGCCCCGGGTTCTGAGGCCCGGACCGGGGTGGGCTGTCCCGGGGGACCGAGGCCCGGGCTGGGGTGGGTTATCACGGGGGACCGAGGCCTGAGCCCGCCCGCGGCCCTGCTATGCGGGCCTCCTCGGGGACCGGCCACCGAGTCGTGGGCGGCGCTGTGTGTCTGAAACACGGCGCGAGCGGCCCCTCACCGCTGCCCGCCTGCAGGTGCTGGCCGGTGTGAAATGACCGAGTACAAACTGGTGGTGGTCGGAGCAGGTGGCGTTGGGAAGAGCGCGCTGACCATCCAGCTGATCCAGAACCACTTCGTGGATGAGTATGACCCTACCATAGAGGTGAGCCCGCCACGGCCTCCCATCCCGGCCCTCGCTGGCCAGCCAGCCTTCCCTTGCACTGTTCCTTCATCCATTCCTCAAAGATAGAGGATAGAAACCAAAGAGCTGCCCATCAGAATGCATTCAGTAAACCAGAGAATGTGCATTTGCACTGCTAACGGTTTTCTTTTAAAATTCATGGCTTTTTTAAATTTTGTAAAACTTGTAGATTCGGTGTTAAATTCAATTTCTTTACATATTATATTCCTGTTAAGGTCAGAGGAAAATAATTTGGTTTAATAGCATACAGTAGGATAGAGATACAGAATTCATACATCTTGAGGTTCTCCAATTTTTACCTAGTCAAAGCCCCTGAGACTGAATTGCTTCACTACCAATTTCAGCTCTGAGTAGCTTATTTTCATATGTGATACTGAGAAAAATCACTTAAATCTTTCTGAGCCTCATTTTTCTCGTGTGATTAATTTTCATATATTTGCAGGCCAAATGGTAGTCTATCCCCATAATCACAATACTGGGGAATCTGAGGCAGAAGTTCTGAAGTTTGAGAACAGCCTAGGATAAAAATTTTTTTTACATAACTCAGCTGTCTACTACATAGGCTATTGTAAAAAAAATGGATAAGCTTGAGTGTGGTGACAAACGCTAGTCCATCCTGTCCACTTTGGGGGTGGAGACAGTGACAGGAGGATCCAGAGTATGAGGCAAGCCCAGATGAAGTAGTAGGAAGGTCCTGTCTCAAAAGCAAACTAACAACAAGAGGGTAGCCCATAATACTCATTACTCGGGAGGCTGAGATCTAAGGATCAGGGTTCAAAACCAGCCTATCTCCAGTTAACCATCAACAAGCCAGAATTGGGAGGTGTGACTCAAGTGGTAGAGTAACCAGCCTTGAGCAAAAAAATAATAAGGGACAGCACTCAGGCCTAGTCTAGTTCAAGCCCCAATACCAACACACACACACACCCCAAAACAGTCACAAATGGGAAAGTGGCCTGGGAGTATAGTTAAAGTGATAGAACACTTGCTAAGCAAGGGTAAGGCCTCTGTTCAATCCCCAAGTTGTCTGTGAATGGTGAAGTCTTCACAGTACTATATACTTAAGGATGTTTGTGGTACTCTGGGAGTTCATGTTACAAATTGTTGTCTGGAACCAATATCTGTGACTCTTTAAAGGGTTCATAAATTTGTCCAATTTTGTCCAATTTGTCTATCTCTAGAGATTGTTTTATTCCATCCTTGACCTCACTAATTCAAACTCATTCAAATTTAGCCATTATTGCAAGCCAGACATCAGTGGCTCACATGTAATCCTAGCTACTCAGGAGGCTGAGATCTGAGAATGGAGGCTTGAAAAGTCAGTTCAAGGCAGAAAAGCCCATAGAACTTAACATCCAGTTAACTTAAACAAAAAAAAAAAGCTGCAAGTGGAGCTGTGGTTCAAGGGTTAGAGCACTAACCTTGAGCAAAAACGCTCAAGGACAGCATCCAGATCCTGAGTTGAAGTTTCAGTACTGCCTCCCCCCCAAAAAAAAATTGATTGCAGTATTTTTCAGTTTTATTTCTTGAGGGATAACTTAAAAATATTTCATGAGTGTAACATACAAGTATTTTATAAGTAAAATGCATAAATCTTGCATCTAAAACTCAGGTTAACTTTATGTGCACTTAATTAACCACCCCTCAAGAGAATAAAGAACAAGAAAAATTAATGCTATATAAAAAATTAGGGGTACTTTCATATGATTATTCAAATCTGTCTCCAAAGCAACTAATTGTACCTTATTTGGAACTTGAGGAATTTGTCTCAGAACTTTTTCCCAGTGGTATGATCTGCTATGGTAAGAAAAAACAGTTTAGGGCTGGGATGTAGCTGTGGCAAAGCGCTTGCCTAGCAAGTTCAATGTCCTGGGTTTGATCCCCAGTACCAAAAAGAAAAAGAAAAAACAGTTTAGATGTTATAGATTCCCCCAAACAAAAGATATATGTATATTTAATCATAAGTATAAATGATTCTGTATTCAGGGTTAGGTTAAATTGTTGTAGGTATGTTTGGAATTTTAAAAGTCAAATCAAATAAAACAACTCAAAATAGTCCAGTTCATGGATTACTAAAACATATTCTTAGTTAATATCTGCCCTGTGTGGGGGGGTGGGGTGGAGGGGTGCTGGACTTGGGCTTAGAGCTTGCCAGGATTGCTTAGATCACTTGAGCCATGCCTGTAGTCCAGGATTTTCCTGGGATTCTTGGAAATGGACAGTACAGGCATTGCTTTAATTTGTTTGAGGGTCAAATCAGCAGTAGACTAAGTAATTAAGAGGTTCATTTATCCTTGATAATAGCATTTTGTTCCCTCTGGTTTGTAATCAAAGTCAACTCTCCCTCTCCCTCCCCTTGCCAGGATTCTTACCGAAAGCAGGTAGTGATAGACGGAGAAACCTGTCTGCTCGACATCCTGGACACCGCTGGACAAGAGGAGTACAGCGCTATGAGGGACCAGTATATGAGGACAGGCGAGGGCTTCCTCTGCGTGTTTGCTATTAATAACAGCAAGTCATTTGCAGACATCAACCTGTACAGGTGCGGTACCGTGCCTCTGGAAGGGAGACAGGGCTTGCCCTGTCCTGAGCTGTGTCGGGAGTGGAAGAAAATGGCGGGAGTGATCTCAGGAGGTGTTAGCAGAGTAAATGCTGGATTTCTTGTATATAGTCTGCTGCTACAGTACATAAATGATGCTTCTTAGCACTGGGAAACAAGAAAGACAAATAGGGGTGCATAACAAGGAGTACAGAGAAAGAGGACATCCAAGGCCAGGGAGTTTCAGAGCTGGAGGGAGCCAGAAAAAACTCTAATCTATTACCTTTGTTTTCTTTTTTTCCTTTTTTTTTTTTTTGTCAGTCATGGGCTTGAATTCAGGGACGAGGCACTGTCCCTGAGCTCTTTTGCTCAAGGCTAGGGCTCTTCCACTTTGAGCCACAGTACCACTTCCAGTTTTCTGGGTATTAATTGCAGATAAGAGTCTCATGGACTTTTCTGCCCAGGCTGGCTTTGAACTGCAATCCTCAGATCTCAGCCTTCTGAGTAACTATGATTATAGGCGTCTTTTCTTTCTTCTCTCTCTCTCTCTCTCTCTCTCTCTCTCTTTCTCTCTTTCTTTCTTTTTCTTTTTTTTTTTTCTGTAGCATCTGGCTATATAGCCCAGCATGGCCTTGAACTTGCAATTCTCTTGCCTATACTCCCTGAAAGCTAGGACCACACACATGTACCACCTTGCCCAACCAGCACTCCTATTTTATAGAATCAGAACTAGAGTGCAGAAAATAACGTTGGATTTTTAGAATCATGGTTTCTATTAGTAGCAAAAACCCACACTTCTGAGTTGAATACTCAGCTCCATCTTTTATTACCTCTGTGACTGTGGAGAAAAATGACTCCTGTCTATATTGGTCCCTCTCCAGAGATCATAGCCCCTGCTTGCTAGGATGTGGTAGCCTGGGACTCCCTCAAAGCAAGCCCAGGCCTATGGTGTGTACCACATTGCTGGGCACACACCACACCGCATGTGGTCTGCCCTGAGGTCTGACTTGTGTTCCATTCATATGTAGATGTCTGCTTTCTGAAGTGAGTGCAAAACTGAGTTCACAGGATTTAGGGAGTTTTTGTCAGTCATGTGTTTGAGCTAAGGGCCTGGGCATTGTCCTTGAGGCGAGCACTCTACCACTTTGAGCCATTGGTCCACTTCAGGTTTTCTGGGGGTTAAGTGGGGAAGAGAGTCTCAGGAACTTTCCTGCCTGGGCTGGCTTTGAACCACAATTCGTAGATCTTAGCCTCCTGAGTAGCTAGGATTGCAGGCATGAGCTATCAGCATCCAGCATCAGTTCATGATTTTTCCTTTTCTGTCTCTGGAAATTGGGAGGATCTGCATCCCCAGATTCACCAATCTTGACAAAAGAAATTGGCTTCTATGCTGGTTGTGTCTGGACTTTTCTTGTTATAATCCCCGTGTGTGTGTATGTGTACGCACACGCTCACGCGTGCACACACACACACACAAACCCATGTATCCCAGTCCAAAGAGTATTTAAAGATTAATAGAAAGTAGGCTTAGCCTGCTCCGCTGGGTGGTAGCTGGTGCCCGAGGCTGTGGCTGCTGCATGACCTCTGCCCTCCCATCTGGGTATGTGGATGCTAGGGGAGACAGAGCTGCCTGAGAGGTGCCAGTCTCCCTCTCCCTCCTATGTGCCCTCTCCTGACAGCTTGCTTTCTTGTGCTCTATTTCAGGGAGCAGATTAAGCGAGTGAAGGACTCCGAGGATGTGCCCATGGTGCTGGTGGGGAACAAATGTGACTTGCCCACAAGGACAGTGGACACAAAACAAGCCCACGAACTGGCCAAGAGCTACGGGATCCCATTCATCGAAACCTCAGCCAAGACCAGACAGGTGGGGCAAGCTGGGAGCACAGGCATGAAGTTCACTGGAGGCAGAGCAGTCTCAGCCTCCAAGTAGCTAGGATTACAGGTGTGAGCCCGTGGCAGCCAGCCCTAGTTCTGTTCGTTGTGTCCTTTCCTTTTGCTGGAATGCTTTTTGAAAAATAATGTCATTCCTATGTCAGCCGGTTGGTGGGCTGCTCTAGGAATATCAGACTTCCTGTCCTTGTCCCAAACCACCCTACTCTATTAGCTGATAGAACATGAAGAAGTGTAAGTGGGAAGGGGCTTACTACCGGGAGGGGTCTGCTTCTCTCATTCTTTCTCTTTTGTCACAGGGTGTCGAGGATGCCTTTTACACCCTGGTAAGAGAGATCCGCCAGTACCGAATGAAAAAGCTCAACAGCAATGACGACGGGACCCGGGGCTGCATGGGCTTGCCTTGTGTGCTGATGTAACGAGGAGTGAGCGTGGGTCTTCTGTGGAGTTTTGTGGGGTTGGGGGACTGGGGCAGGAACTCAGGGCCTGGACGCTGTCCCTTAGCTTTTTTTGCTCAAGGATAGCACTCTACCACTTGAGCCCTCAGCTCCCACTTCCAGCTTTTTAGGTGGTTTATTGGACTCGAGTCAGCTTTGCCCTGACTGGCTTCAGACCTGGATCCTCAGATCTCAGCCTCTTGAGTAGCTAAAATTCTAGGCATGAGCCACTGACCTTGCCATGTAATTATGTCATTATTTAGAATCAGGCAATTTGATGACTATTCGTGGGATTGTTGCTATTTAAGTGATCATTTCTGTGCATTTTAACCTAGTAAATATTTCCTTTATGGTGCCATTTCTGGTAGTGCCATGGGCTTACTTGTAATTAGAAATAACATTTCTAATATCAGAATAATAACATTTCTACAGAGTTCAATTTTTTTTATAACATTAGAACTTAGAAGACAGTATTCATGAATTGTGTACCACATTTTTGGCACAGACCTGGAGTTTGAAGGATCATTTCAAAACTAAATGATAACATGGTGTGTGGTCTTCTCTTTCAGATTCTCACGTCTGTTGTCCGAGAAGAGCCACTTTGAAGGTAGGAATCACTTAGAAATGCATTGCCCTTCCCGCTGTGCTCCCATGCCTGTCCTGTCTGTGTTTCAGCCGCTGACCACCAGTCCTGACTCTCACGTCCTGTCTGTGTTTCAGCCGCTGACCCCAGTCCTGACTCCGGAGGAGAAGAACCCAGTTGCTCTCTTCATCTCAGAGACACTCCTGCTGCCCTGACTACTCGGGGGTCTTGCGAGAACCTCTCAGAACAACTACCTCCTTGCTTGGTCATCTGACCAGAGAAGTGCGCCTCCTCTGCTCCCTGGTAGTGTTCTGCCCTGGGTTTTCCCCATGAGAAACAAACCAACCTGTGCTAGGCAGGCCTTTCCCTGAGAAAAGCAGTCTATGCTCTGAAACAGGCTGGCAGCAGCTTCTTGAGCTCTAGAGGAGTAGCTGCGGGGCTCCTCCCCACCCCGCCCCTCTTTTTTACTGTTGAACCTCTGTTCATTTTTGGAGAAATGTCATAAATTACTGTTTTGCCAAGAATCTAATCAATGTTGCTGATTGGTTTGATTGTCATGTGATCAGCTATATTCTATAAATTGGCATGAGTCTGCTCTACTTTCACAAATAGAAGTGTGAATGAACGCGCTGACCCTGGCATCCACCTTAGTCTTCTTGACTTCCATGAAATTGAATCCAACTTTCCCAATAAAGTGCCTTTTTCCTAGAAGTGGTTTGTAGACTTCCCCCAGGACCTCCATGGAGCAGGGTCCCCCAGCCATGGGGGTGGCAGCCTCTGACTACCAGCTGGAGGAAAGGTCCCTAGACAGTCACCTATGGTAAGGTGTTTTCCCAGAGGCCTGGGTGGGCCTTTCCCAGGAGAGAGAAGAAACTGGAAACAGTGACTAGTGATAATCACTTCATGGCTAACCTCATCGCTTTTTGGTAGCTTAATACTTACAAAGTTTGTGAGTTGTTGCTGTTTTCTGTTTTGTTTTTAGCTTACTGATAATCTAATACTCAGCAACTTCCATTTATTATGAAATTTGGGTCAAAGGAGGAAGTTCTTCAGTTACACATACTCAGATATCATAAAAGTTTGGTGTACTGCTTTATAGCTGTAATCCATGATCTTCAATCCTCAAATACGGTGTTACATCTCCACTGCCTGTCCTAGGTTCATAGCACAGTAAGTGTCCTACTCCTGTCAGGTCACCACCGTACCGCCTCCCTCCCTCGGCCCCTCTGCAGTAGGAGCTGGGTTAACTAGTTCCGTTTAGTTAACCATGGTGCTAATGGACCAGGGAGGTCGCTGATATAAAGGCTAAACAAGTCAGTTATCACAAAAGTCACCCCCTTCCCTACAGCCACTCACTGTGTGGTAACTCTTGCAGTTTCACCAATGCCTATTTGCCCTGCAAGGGAAGAAGAGGTTAGAGGTTAGTGCCATGAGGCCTTCACTGGCACTGGAAAAGCCTGAGATCCTATGTGGGCAGTAGAAATCTTCAGAAGTAAGCCCTTTTTAAAGCCAATTTGAATAAAGTTGCTATTTTTTCTTGTTTTTACTGGAATGAGGATGAATCAGGAATGTGCCGGTTGTTGCTTATAATGTTCTTTGAAGGGTGATGAATTTATTCAGAACACAAAGGAGACTTGGACTTGCTATTTCAGAACAGAATGGAAAATAGAGCTATTGTTGACACTGGTTGGGGGCTGGCAGACAACACTGGGCCAGAGCCCAGCACCTTGCACGTGCCTTGCTCGCCATGCTCGTGCCATGCTCATGCTCCACAGCCAGCTCCAGCCCCAGTAATGCTGATGAAAACAGACTTGGATCCCATCAACCCACAGACTAATTCCAAACGACCACCCTCTTATATGGTCTTCTAATAGCTATGCATTTTTCTTGGTTTTCTAACATGAATTTTCACTTATGAAACAAACCATTACCTGGAAATGAACAAGAGGGAAAGAAGCGCAGACTGCCCAGAGGCAGGCTCAGAGCTGTGGTCTGCTGGCTGATGCCCGCTTATGCCGGCTGCTCCACAAAAGATTGGTGCCTGTAAGCCTTGGGGCTGTGTCCTGTGCCTTTTGGCTCATTGATCTCTCATTTCCTTGAGGCTTGGCACCTCTGCCCCAATCTTTTTTCATTGAGTCTGACACACAGTGTATTCTCTTGACTCTTCCATTTAATGTCAGATTAGGAAGAAGGTAGGCCACCCTGCGCTCCTAGGACCACACCTTGTCTGCACATCTATAGTGTTTTCACATGTGTTCCAGCACAGAAGTATCCAGATAGGGCCAAATTCCTATTTGAAAATCCTCTCCTACTGGCTTCTTAAGGAATGACTTGGGGTTTAAATTTTGCCATGACAGAGAGACAGACATAAGAGCTAAATAAGTTCTGTTAGTGGTTAAAACTGGAGTTGTTGGAATATGTAATAAACTGAAAATAATGCTAGCTTACCTCAAAATCACTTTCCCCTTTAAGTGCCTGGTCAGCTGTTGTAAATTCCATATGCCTTTCTGGTAGTTGTTCTTTGAAGGTTGTGCATTGGCAAGCGTAGGCATTCTGCCTGAAGGCTGACTTGTCTGTGAGTGACTACACACTGCATGTATGCCAGGCTCAGTGTGCCATGCAGTGTCCTAAGTAGCCAAGTTTTCCTTGAAGATTATAAGTTGTAAAGTTAATCTCGATTTTGTCTTTGTGGGTGCCCAGTCTTCATCTATTAAACTGCTGTGAATTTTTTTTATCGTGACTTGATAACAAAATAGACAAAAACTTAGGTTGTGTTTGTTTGTCTGTCCATCCTAGAATTAGAAGCATAATTATTGTTTTGCTTTGTATTCAGTCATGAACTCTCAACAATGGCAGCTACAACCAAGAACCAAAAACCAAATGGTGCATTCTGCTTCTTGTTATTCATCTCTGCTAGCAAATATAAGAAGCATGGTTAGTTAGTGAGCGAAGAGGTGTGGATGGTTTGTATAGCCAAGGAACTAATTCTTGTACATTATTTCTCATCTTTACTGTTTTGTTAACCATCTACTGTGCCATCAAATTATTTTAAAGTATTTGTTTTCTAGAAGAATTGTTTTAGCCAGGCACCAATGACTCACACCTGTAATCCTAGCTACTCAGGAGGCTGAAATCTGAGGATAACAGTTTGAAGCCAGCCTAGGTAGAAAAGTCCCCATGAGACTCTTATCTCCAATTAACCACTCAAAAAAAAAAAAAAACCCAGAAGTGGCACTGTGACTCAAAGTGGTAGAGCACTAGCCTTGAGTGAAAAAACTCAGGAATAGCATCTAGGCCCTGAGTTCAAGTCCCACAACCCAAAAAACAAAGCACTATTTAAAGGTGTTCTTGCCGGGTTGGCTATAGATAGATTTTGAAATGTAACTGATTCCAGAAGGCTAAACACTGATCTAAGAAGCAAGTGTTTGAACTCTGGAGGGAAGAACATGCCAATGGAGATTGTATGACTTCTGTGTGTCTGTACCATTTGACAGTATCAACTGTGCAGTTCTGCTGTTTCAATGGGGACTGTCAGTCTCCTTGGCCCTAACTTGAAAGGGCTAACACTTTAACCTGATTATTTTATTGTAAATCCATCATTTTTTTAATTTGGTTTAATTAAATGTTTTAAAAATAAAAAACTGGAATTTGTTTGCTTAGTAATATTGTTTTCCCCTACTGAAGTCCCTTTCTGGACAGTTAATACTAATCTCAGACTTTACATATGATGTAGGCAATACTGGAAGTCCAAGGTCCTTATTCACCTTCAGTATAGCAGCCAAAGTTGATCTTTCTGGGGTGGTTGTTGCCCTGGGCCTAAAAAAATCCCAGAAACAATTTCATAAGGAGGGTGTGTGTGTGTGTGTGTGTGTGTGTGTGTGTGTGTGTCTCAGGGCTTGAACTCCGCCTGGGTGCTGTATCTGAGCTTTTTTTTTGCTCAAGGCTAGCATTCTACCATTTGAGCCAAAGCTCCACCTCCAACTTTTTGGGTGCGTAAGTCTCAGAGATTTTCCTGCCCTGGCTAGCTTTGAACCAGGATCCTTAGATCTCAGCCTCCTTTGTAGCTAGGATTATAGACATCAGCCACTGGTGCCTGGTTCAATTTTGTAAGTTTTAAATTCCTGCCTTGTAAGTGGTCTGGTGGATCCATGCTGTCCTGATTCAACCATGGTGCTGCAGCACAAGCCACAAGCACCCAGCCAGAAAGGAACTTCATTGTAAAGATGTAGCCAGCTGTTACTGGCTTACACCTGTAATCCTAGCTATACAGAAGGCTGAGATCTGAGAATCTGTTCAAAGTCGACCCAAACAGGAAAAGTCTATGAGACTCCATCTCCAACCAACTACTAAAAGAGAAGTAGAGATGTGGCTCCACTGGTAGAATACAAGCTTTGAGCAAAAAAGCTAAGTAGAGGCACGAGCAACTAAGTCCAGATCCTGGTTCTGGTGGTATGTGTGTTTACACAAAGAATATACAGACCTGGGGGCTGGGAAGGTGGCTCAGTGGTAGGATGCTTGCCTTGCAAGCCTGAGGCCCTGGGTTCGATTCCTCAGCACCATATAAGAAAAAAGCCGGAAGTGGCGCTGTGGCTCAAGTGGTAGAGTGCTAGCCTTGAGCTGAAGAGCTGAGGGACAGCGCCCAGGCCCAGAGTTCA